ACTTTACAAGTGACATTTTTCAGGTGATTGGGCCCCTGAAGGCACTCTGCAGCCAAGACTTAATACATGTGCATGGCAGCAGAGCACTTTTAAGATGGCCAATCATGCAAAAAATAACTCTGGTAAAATTAAGTATTAGATTACGGGAACTTGTGTTCTCTCCATGATTAATTGTTCACATGGAAACAGGGCTGGGCTAGTGCTCATGCCAGCAGCCCCAGCCCAGCCCAGTCCCCAGAGCTGTCAGCAAGGTCCAGGCTCAAACGGACTTCGGTGGGAGAAGAAAGGTAGGGCACGTCCACAGTGCACTTGGTAAGTGAGGGACATTACCACTGCATCCATCGCATGCATGACACCCAGAGAGCTTCTGCAGGAGCTGACCCAGCACCAACTCATGGACATACACCCTAGACAGTATGCTTGAATTTGACTCTGAGACTGAGAGGACCAAGACTAAGTGGGAGTGGGGATACTACTGTTCTGCACCCTAAAGTTAGAAAGCTTTTGGGCTATGGAGTCATCCACGTGCCAAAAACAGAGGCAGCAAGGATTTGGGAATGGCAGGAGTGTCTGCATGGTAGCAGTTTGTAGAATCACAGAAAAAATAGGGCTGGAAGGGACCTCCGCAGGTCACCTAGTCCAACCCCCTGCCTGAGATAGCATCTCCAAACCAAATGGTTTAGGACTGATGCATGAGCAGAGGTCTTGGGAGAAGTAGGCCCAAGGCAAAGCTGAATTCAAGAGGGAAGCAAGGAGGGGTGAGGGTTGCAACAGGAACTTTCTCCACATCATGGTTGGAGCTAAGGAGAGCAACAGCAGGGTTTGAGGTGTGGCATTTTCACCAGAAGGTCTGTGGTCTGAAGCATTCAAGGGAAGGAAAGCATGGAGCAAGCAAGGTGGGGGGTGAAGTACAAGCACAGCCAGTGCTTGCTCCCGTGGAGCTGAAAAAGCCACGGGAAGAGCTGGCTCCCAGCACGTCCCCGAGGGGCTCAGCACTCTGCAGGATGAGGATGGGAGCACTCATTTTGAACCAGGCAGGCAGAACATTCCTCGTGGCTATGCCCATTAGGCTGTGGCTAAAAGGGATTGGACCTAAGACCACAATCTGGAGCCAAAATCTTCACCAGCCCACCCCTGGGACCTTCTCCGGGAGTCACTTTGCACCTGCCTGTGCCCCCTGCCCATGTTACCTGCAGCAGTTCTTTAGCAGAGCCCCTCTTCTCCACGTCCATCTCCAGGCAGCGGTTCAGGAAGTCTCTGAATATGGGCGACAGCTTTTCTGGGTTCTGCAGCTCTGGGGTGCCATTGGTAGCGATGAGATACAGGGCCTGAAGCAAACAAGCATCAAGGAAACCAAATATAACAGAGCAGGGATTGAAATTCACTCCTGTTTCAAGCCCCACTCCCCCTCTACACCTCACTAAGGCTCCTGTTTCCCCGGCGTGCTCAGTTAGGAACAACCTAATCTGCAGATGCCCAAACTCTGCAGTGATTTTTGCACACACAACTGCTGCCAGCCTTCAAAATCATAAGGAAGTGGGGCTGGAAGGGACCTCCGGGGATCACATCTAGTCCAACCCCCTGCCTGAGGCAGGATCAGCCCTATCCAAGCCATCCTATACACATCTACTCTTAGCAAAACTGCAGTCAACCTGCTACAACACAAGACATGGCACCCTAACCTGCCACCAGTAAAGCAGGGGGGTCTTGCTTCTGTAAAGGTAGTTAATATATGCTCAAGAGATCCTACGAAGAGGGACACACACCACTCCCACCTCATCGCTTCAGCAGGATCCAGTCCTTTATTTTGATAATCTGGATTTGGACCCTACAACCCAGAGGGGTCTGCAAGAAGAGAAACCGCCCATGCTGCACCTCCATTGGAAATTTAACTGGCTTAACTGTATCAGCAGAATAATCCTCATGCTGGAGAAAGGACATCCATATGGCAATTCTCACCAGTGCAATTACAGCAGTGTAGCTACACCAATACAGCTTTGCCAGTAACATCTCCCTCTGGAGACAAGCCCTTGGGGCCCAACCCTGCCAGGTGCCAAGAGCCCCTATGAAAGAGGGGTTGTAAAGGGAGACTCAGTTCCCTTGCGCGAGCAACTGTTTTGCCACTAGGGTAAAATGGACCACGGCAAACAGAGTGGCTCTTCACCAAGTACGTCTGAAAGGCTCGGGCTGCCAACTCAAGGATTTGGAGGAGAAAGCATGTGTTTGAAAAGCAGTAAGGGGAAAAAGCTAGTCAGACGCTGCCAGGCAGCCTGAAGGTTTTTCAGATGCACTGATCAGATCCTGTAAAGCAATGAATCGCTCACAGGAGCCTGGGAATTAGGGCAACTCAAATTAAAGGAGGTCAAAAGGTTGCATTACGTGAAACGAGGACAGTAATGCAACACCAGTTGCTTGACGTTTTTCTTCCCTGCCACCTCCCCTTTGAGCTTTTCCTCAAGGACAGTCTTCACCTTTAGGGAGCCACGTACCAGTAAGACAGGGAGAAACTGATGTTCCTCCACTGAGAGAGGGAGACATTGGGGTGCGGGGAGGGGATGAAAATGACTGTAGGGGGAAGAGCATTTCAGATGCCGAGTGCAGGGCTGGTGCATATGTTATAGGGGGACAGGAAGTTTGGGCCCTACATTCAGATCAAGCAAAACTCAACACAGAAAGAAGTTTTCAGAGCTAGGAAAAGGGCTTTACTTTCAAAGTTTCTGGCAGAGCTTGCAACCACATGCACCTTTGTCAGAGCATGAGAATCAGAGTGGGAAAGACTGAGACAGCCTGGCTTCAGGGGTTTAATATAGGCTTGCAGCACTTCTCTGGCTCCACACTACCCCCAACTTGTGGCTGTGGGTCATTGTGTAAGATCTGGCCCCTGCCACCTTACAAAGGGGTAAGGGCCGTGATCTGAAGTGGGCCACGGCAGGACAGCGTGTCACGGATGAGTCGGCTGTCTCAGAAAGGAAGACTCCTTTCTGAAACTAAAATTTCACACGTTCTGAAAACATCTAAAATTGTCTCATGCCTATTTCTAGCCTGGGCAAGGCAAGGGCTGTGGAAAAACACTGCAGGAGAGGATATTCTTGCATTACTGCTGACCTAGTTTAATAGATGGGCTCAGAGAAGAGCCTAACGAGCCTGCCTCTGCCTAAGGCTGAAAACGGAGATATCCTGAGGAACCTTAGGACGGTCCAGTACACCGTGCCCGTTCTGCTCTGACCCACTCAGCACTGAAATGGCCCGGCGCTGGCTTACTCTCAGAGGGTTCTCGTTGAGATACGGGGGCTCGCCCTCGATCATTTCGATAGCCATGATGCCCAGAGACCAGATGTCCACTTTGGAGCCATAAGCTTTCCGCGTCACCACCTCAGGAGCCATCCAGTACGGTGTTCCCACCATCG